GAACCGAACCCGAAATGGACCGAACGCTCGGTTCATTTCGGTTCAAAATTTTTTTTTTGGATTTTTGGAAAACAACTTTTTACAAAAGGATACAACCATAGACAACACCTTTTTGAGATTGAGCGAAAATATGTGCAATGGGACCGAACCTGAAATAGACCGAGCGCTCGGTTCATTTCGGTTGTCATGTGAATCGAACCCGAAATAGACCAAGCGTTCGATTCATTTCGCTTCTAACTTTTAACTTTGAGATGGTGTTTTTGGTACCGATTCTGATTCCATCATTCCTAGTCCCTGAAGGATCTTATTGAAACTTGCTTCAGGTAGGGCTTTGGTGAAAATATCAGCCAGTTGATAAGTTGTTCGAACAAAGTGAATTTCGACATTTCCATCCTCCACATCATCCTTAATGAAGTGATACCTCAGTGCTATATGCTTGGTCTTAGAGTGTTGCACCGAGTTATGACAGATCCTAATTGCACTTTATGAATCACAATATAGTGGGATCTTTTTCATGTTGAGTCCATAATCTCTGAGTTGGCTTTGGATCCAAATGACTTGAGATGTACAAGAAGCGGCTACGATGTACTCTGCTACGGCTGTAGAAAGGGAAACGCAGGTTTGCTTCTTTGACTGCCAGCTGACCAACTTTCCATCAAGGAATTGGCAACCCCCTGTGGTGCTTTTCCTGTCTAAACCGCATCCTCCAAGGTCTGCATCTGAGAAGGCTTGAACGAAGAAGCCTGAGTTTGATGAATACCATAGACCGAGAGAGGTGGTTCGCTTCAGATACCTGAGTATATTTTTCACTGCAAGCATATGTGGTTCTCGAGGATTCGCCTGAAACCTAGCACAATAACATACAGAAAACATCATATCATGCCTGCTAGCAGTAAGATACATTAAGGACTCAATCATCTGGCGGTATAGCATAATGTCAACTGCCGGTTTCTCCAGGGAAGGTGTGAGTTTCGTGTCGAATGCCATTGGAACTTTGACCTTGCAAGAAGAGTTTTGGTGTATGCTTCCTGGTTGATAAAGATGCCTTCGGGTCCCTGTCTAATATTTAAACCAAGGAAAAACTTAATCGGACCCATGGAGCTCATTTCAAATTTAGTCTCCATCAGCTTTCTGAATTCAGCTGTTAAGCTGGGATTTGTTGAGCCAAAGATGATATCATCGACATAGATTTGTACAATCATAAGGTGGTTACCTTCCTTCTTACGAAATAAGGTTGGGTCAGCCGATCCTTGTTTGAATTTGGACATCTTTAAAAACTTAGTTAGCGTTTCATACCAGGCCCTAGGTGCTTGTTTCAGACCGTAAACTGCCTTGTCCAGAATATAGTAGTGATTTGGGAACTTCTCATTGACAAAACCAGGAGGCTGCTCCACGTAGACCATTTCTTCAAGTTCTCCATTCAGAAAAGCGCATTTTACGTCCATTTGGTAGACCTCGAAGTTTTTGTGCGTTGCATAGGCAAGAAATATTCGAACAGATTCCAGCCTTGCAACTGGAGCGAAAGTCTCTTCGTAATCAATTCCTTCTTCCTGGCAGTATGCTTTCACCACTAAACGAGCTTTGTTCCTTATTACATTGCCTTCCTTGTACATTTTATTTCTAAAGACCCATTTGAGACCAACAACGGAGGCAACTTGAGGAGTTGGAATGAGACGCCAAACTTTATTTCTTTCGAACTCATTAACTTCGTCTTGCATAGCTTGAACCCAATCAGAGTGATCAAGAGCGGTGTTTACTGTCTTTGGTTCAACCTTTGAGACAAAAGAGTTAAACATGCAGAACTCAACTTTGGAAAATAAAGAAGTTTGTTTTGCCTTCAGTTGAGATCTGGTCAACACCTTTTCAGAGACATCACCCACAACCTGTGAAACAGGATGATCTCTAGTCCATTTGACAAGAGGAGGGTAATTTGGATCATAGGAAGGATCCAATTCAGCGTTCACCAATTATTCCAATTCTGATTGACTATCTTCGTCATGAAACGTATTGGCATTCTCCCCCTCGAATGATGAGCTTTCTGGTGCAGTAGGACTTTCGGGTGTAGTTGTGCTCTCTGACGGTTTTGAGCTTTCAATTGCTACAGTAGTTTCGGAAGCTGTGGAGCGTTCGGGTGCTACAGTACCTTCGGGTGCTACAGTACCTTCGGGTGCTATAGGACTAGAGTGCTCGCCCTCAACTGGCAAGCTTGACTATTTTGAATAGGATGGATCCTCCCCCTCAACTGATGCATTGTGCTGAGAAGTTTTATTTGGAGCTGAATCTCCGTCACCCAGTCATTTGGCAGCTTCATCGACGATTTGCTTCAGATGGTTGATTTTGTTGTCTGCTGCCTTGGCTTCCGAGAGAGTAGCTTTCTCAGGTTCATCGAATAACTCCACAAACTGCTTAAACAAATTAGCAATCGAGGCCGTAACATGACCTGTTTGAGTGAAAATTTCTCCAATTGCTTCTTCAGTAGCCTTTATCCTTTTGACGAAGCTATCATCGAAAGTCACATAATATGTCTCTTCAATCTTTCTTGAACGCTTGTTTAATACCCGATATGCTTTTGAAGTTAGAGAGTATCCCAGAAAAATCCCTTCATCATCTTTTACGTCGAACTTTTTACGATGTTCTTTAGAATTGAAGATAAAGCATCGTGAGCCGAACACGTGGAAGAATTTGACATTCGGTTTTCTGTTGTTGATGATCTCATAAGGGGTGCGAGTGAAACGCTTATTGAGATAGGACCTGTTCTGTGTAAAACAAGCTGCAGAAACAACATCAGCCCAGAAATATAATGGTAAGGAAGCAAAACATAACATGGTTCTGGCCGCCTCACACAAAGATCGGTTTCGTCTTTCGACAATTCTGTTTTGTTGAGGGGTGTAGGGAGCTGAGAAGTTGTGACTGGTTCCTTTTTCCGCTAGAAAGTCTTCAAATTCTTTATTTTTGAACTCCAGCCTATTGTCGCTTCTGATGTTCCGTACAACTTTCCTCAGCTGCACTTCAACTTGCTTGACAGACAGCTTCAGCTTGAGTGTTGCCTCAGATTTGTGCTTCAGAAAGAACACCCATGTAAAACGTAAAAAGTCATCGACAATAACAAGAATATACTTGCTACCGCCTATGCTTTCAATAGAAGATGGACCACACAAGTCAATGTGAATTAACTCAAGTGGTTCAACAACCTTTGTGTTTATGATGGATGGGTGACTTTGACGACATTGCTTCCCCATTTCACACGCAGCAAACAAATGTTCTTGATCAAAATTGAGCAATGGAAGACCCCTAACATGACCCCCTGTGACGAGTTTATTAATATCCTTGAAATTGAGATGGGAGAGCCTTCGGTGCCACATCCAGCTTTCATCAGAATGTGGTTTGGATAACAGACAAATAGCTGGGTTTCTGAAGAGATTTGTAATCAAGTTTAAAGATCAATTTATGTAAGAATTAAGAAAGAAGAATCACGATGAACAAGAGAGTAAATATAATCTTTGATCAGCTCATATTATGCTTTTTGGTTTACAGAGTATAACAGAATTCTCTGTAAAGTGTGTAAAAAGTCTCTTCTTCTCACATTGTACAGACTCCTATTTATAGGCGTACAAAAGCATAATAAACTACTAAGGACTAGACATTAAATCTTAGATAAAATGCATTAGTAATTATAACGTTACATTCGAAGACACAACTTACGAAGACTAACAACCCTTCGTAACAAAAACAATACTTCGACATATTACAATACAAACCCTAACAATCTCCCCCTTTGGAATAAAGGTCGAAGTCTTCATGAAGTAAGTAGTTGTATAGCATACATGAGTACCCTTCGAATTTCCATGTACCAAGAGATAACTTTCTTTATCTCTTTCTTGTCTCCTTCTGAATTCTTCTTGCAATGATTCATACGAACAATTAAGTTCGTATATTGCGAATTTGTATATCTTTCTACTTCAGAGGTTTGAAACAAGAATCTCTTGGCCTTTCCAGATTTGTCTTTTCCGGCGAAGACTATCCCCAACGGTTTTAAACAAATTTCTCCGTCTTTAAATTTCTTCAATTCCACCTGCTTCTTTGTAGGAGCCATTGGAACAGTGATGTCGATGCCTTTGACAGTAGCAAGCTCGATATCAGTTTGAGCTAGGCATTCGAAATAATTTTCCAAGAAAACTTTTATATGCCTACACCCAAGACTGAAGACATCAGGTTCTGTTTCTTGAAGATAAGAAAAGGACTTGTCTTTGAGAATCAACGCAGTATTGATGAGATCGTAAGTGTTCATCAACGGAAAGTCAGCTATGGTGAACTCTTGTATCTTTCCACTTGCTCTTGACACAACATACTTCAAGTTCTCAAACTTTCCTTCGAAAATGACATCCCTTTTTATGGATATCACCTTCTTAATCTTCTCCGAATACCAGACTTCTTCTTGAGCTTTAGCTAACACAGCATGAAATCGAATTTTCATCTTCTTTCCTTCTTCGACATCCATATTCTTTGACTCTGCTTTAAACTGTGGCATGATGAACATCATCTCATTAATTGGAAAGTCGAGTTGCCCATAATCAGTGTTTGTCACCACATAACTCTTCTTAGGAATCTTCTCAAAAGAATACATATGGTCAAACATCACTCTTGATTCGATAGTTTCATAGTTGAAAACTTTCGAAGGATCTCCCTTGTTGACATTCGAACCTTCAAGAGCTCTTTGTCGCATAATGCTCTCCACATGCCTCATTCGTTCTAATTCAGCTGCCACCTCAGCTTTCTTTTCTTTGTTTGTCTTCTCAATCAAGACTCCTTTTCCTTTGTCTTTCTCATTCGAAGGAGCAGCACCCTTTGAAGAAGAAACATTCGAAGAAACAACATTCCCAATTACAATACCTTTTGTACTAGGTCTTGAAATCGGAACCGTTGTAGTCACAGTTGAAATGACTGGAGCAGCTGAAACAATTGTTGGTTTCACTGGATCCTTCGAATCTTCTGGTCTCATCTCATGCTCCCCAGCCTTTGCTTGAACAATCTTTTCTCCCCCTTGCACCCCTGTGATAGCAGGTGGGGCATACACTTGGCAATAGGCTTGAGATTCGAAGTAGCGGAGTAAGATACTTTTGAAGAATGGCTTCGAAATGAAGAAATTTCTGAGATAGATACTCTTGAGAGATAATCGAAGAAGAGGATTTCGAGGAGATATCTTTGAGTTCCTTCATTAGATTCAATAACTCTCCGAAATGTTGAACTTCAGTTGCTGACAGAGAAGTCATCTGTGATTTGAGCGGTTCAAACCTCTTGACACACTGAACAACTGCATCACAAATGATGTCAATCTTCTGATGTGCAGAATCATACCCCTGGTTAAGAGTTTGAACTTCCTTCATCATTTCTTTTACGAAGTTCTCTAATCTGCATATTCACATCCTCTCTAACCTTCTTCACCTCCTGTATGAAGAGCACATGACGCTCCTTCGTCACCATCTTCAAATCTTTAACTTCCTTCAGGAGATCAGTTCTTAGAAACTTGATTCTATTCTCAGTAGAACTATCAGACTAATCAATTTTTTCTAAAATCCGGCTTTCTGAATCACGAATAAGCCTTTGAATTCTTCGATAGCAGCCTGTTTTCCATCTACTTCATCAATGAATCAACTTGCAAAAGATTAATTCTAACATTTCTGACATCTGCTTGAGATTGTAAGATTGAATTCAATTTGGAATTCAAAATCTTGAACTGCTTCATCGTCATTATCATATGATCCGGAAAATCTTCTTCTGATTTATCAAAAGAAAGGTCTTCGAAAGTTCCCCCAAACCCTTTTGTTGTCAGTTTCTTCATCAATTGCCATTGTTTCAGCAATAGGTGATAAAGATTGTGGTGGTTCAGTGGACTGTGTTGAAAAAATGGTGGTGAAGGGTTGATTCATGATAGATTGGAATGTAGGAGAATCGATGGTAGAAGTAGCCTGTGGTAGAGTCGTTGATTCTAGAATCTTGACGTCAGCAGGTTTCAAAATCTCAGTAGATTGAAAGATTTCGACTTCTTTTGGAATATCAGCTTCAGGAGTTTCAGGCACAACTTCTTCATCTTCAACAAGTTTGGGTTTCTTCAAGAACTTTGCCATTTCTTCAGCCCTTCTCTTTTTCGAAGATGGAGACACAGGAGCTGGAACTTCACGAACTGTAACCCCTTGGTGAGTAGTTTTCTTCACCAACTGAGACTTTCGCTTGATCTTGATTCTTCAAAAAACTCCCGTCTTCGAAGGAATCGTTTCCTTTGATGGAGAGGCTTCAATTACTGGAGTATCAGCAACTGATCTCAAGACCGGAGACACTTTTTCGACAGTTGAGGAAGGACCAATGAGTGCTTGATGCTGGTCATCTTTTAACCCTTTTTCCGAAGAGTCCCCTTTCGTCTTCTTGGACTTCTTTGTCTTTTTGGTGGCTTCTTGCTGTAACTTCCCAGTCACAACTGTTGTGTCAATTGATTGTAAGTATGACACCAACACTTTGTTCGTAGGATCCACCTTCTTTAACATTGCATCTGGAATTCTGGCTATTGAGGTAAAAATTGCCGGATCGTCACGTACTTCCTTCAGACTCCCTGTTTGGCACTCGTCTTCGAAATGCTTGTAATAAACTCGGTCCACAACTGCTCAGAGTAATCCACCTGTAAGTCATAGTAAAGCCCTGCAACCATTGCGTATACCTCCATTCTACCTTTGTCTAAGCCCACCGTTCTTCCAGTAAGACATCTGAGGAAGATGCCAAATAAAAAATTCCAAATGGTTGGTAGACCTGACTTCTTGAAATCACTTATACGTGTCAATGGAGGTTGGTGACCCATCTCATTGAACATGTATATTACTTGCGAAGACGTGAGTTCATCGTATGGACCAGAATTTGGAATTCCCAAAATCTTGCAAAACAATCTTTTGGAAACCCTAATTCGCGTATCAGTAACCATGGTGAATTCCACACACCCGGTTTCTTTATTGTAGGAAGCTGTAGAACCAACCTTCGATAACCATGACATTGGTGCAGCAAATGATTGGAAAATGGCTTTAGACAGAACAGAGTTCTGTAAAGCAACGACCAGCATCTTTAGTTCTTCCGGATATTTCGACAAATCCGATTCTACTTGATAGTTTGAACCCTGGATCTTCAAGATTGGAACACTGATGATCTCGTTAGTAGTTGGTGATGAAGTAGCTACCATTGTAGATGAGTTGAAGAAAAGAACTGTGTGAAGAAGATGATTTGCAGAGAAAGTTTTTGTTTATCTGAAGAAGATGATTTGCGTAAAGGATTATGAGATTGTAACTTTCCCTTTTATATGTAACCCTAGAATTTTTGAATTTGAAGCGGGACGCATTAAATGTTTGCTGACATGGCACCTTGAAACCCGGAATGCACTCATCAAAAAGTGACAATCGTAACTGTCAATACGCCTTTCACGCTTATCCTACATCATACGTCATCAAGAGATAGGACCGTTTGGTGTTCCCCACAAAAATTGTAACCGTCGGATGCCTTCTGAATTGAGGCCAGGCTCTTTCACTTTGGGGTTTAAAAAGCGAAGTCATTTGCCAGAGTTTCGAAATCATCAGTTTAAGTTGGTGTTACTCAAACCTCAAGGATTTCGTGTGTGCTGTGTGCCAACTAAAATTAGATGAGAAACAACAAAAAAAAACTTTTGAAAACTCGTGATGTCAATAATTTCTTTGACATAAAAGCAATGTTATCCCAGGCAAAGATATCTTCGAAAATTATCAAGAGAGATAATTGACAGCTTGTGTGGTTTCCCGTGAAATACAATCGATAACTTGTAAAGAAGTTTCGAAGGGTTTCTTTTATGAGACACATTGGGTGGCTTCGAAAATTTTGTTACATATCAACCTTAAAATAAGGTGAGTAATTGTAAACAAAATTAGTTGTATGACCAGTGTAGTCAGTGACAACTTGGTTGCGAATGATATTCAAAGTAACAAAGATTTTGAAAATATACTCACACGGAAATCATATTCATAGAAAAATTATACTGGATCTATTTGGGAACAAACATCGTAGTTTTCGAATGTTTGATAAAGATCACTCAAAAGAAATGAATATGATTTGGAGTATAAAAGGTACTGAAGCAAAAGCTTCGTAAGATCTGGAACATAGTCCCCCGTCAATTCCTTAAAGGTGTATGAATTTTGGGTTTCACTTTCATCACGGACTCATGATGTTAGATCTTAAACACAGAATTGTGATTTGTCTAGGTTTTGATTGGTTTGACCAAAGACCTCAAGGACAAATCTTTTTCAAAAAAAATTTTGGATTGAAAGAATTGTTTGGTTTAAAAAGATTGGACAAGAATCGAAGTGTACCTCTGTTATAATGGACAAAACAGAAAACTCTTAACTCATTTGAGAAGAGTAAGGTAGCTCATTTTGACTTATGCGAATATAAGCCTTTTTGGGAAGAAATTTTCTTGAGATAATTTCATTAAGGCTTTCTTGACACACATAGAGTCATGTTGAGGCTTTCGGTCTACATACAACAGCATGCTTCTAGGGACATCCTAACTAGTTTGTAAAAGAAATTTAATACCTTCCCACAGAAACACAAATGTATGACCTCTTCACATTGTTGCCCTGTATTAAATTCTCAGCACACACAGTTTGATGAACAAAAAAAAAACAAAAAAATATTTTTGTGATTTTTGAATTTTTTTTTTTAAATTAAAGAACAAAAATAAAATCTTTTTGAATTTTTGATTTTTCAAAATTAAAGAACAAAAATAAAATCTTTTTGGATTTTTGATTTTTCAAAATTAAAAAACAAAAAATAAATAAAAATAAAAAAAAAATTATTTGAAGAATTTTGATTCCAAATGCTCACCCTCCATTAGATCATCTATTTGTTCATTTGTGTTTTGATTCAAATTCGAAGTTGAATCAATGTTATATTTCGAATTTTCTGATGTTCGATTATCAGTTGCCTTTCTTTCTGCATCAATTGCTTGATCTGAAATACCAAAAATCAAATCATAATCAACATCATTCATTTCAATTGAATCATTTATAATTGAAGAATTTTGCAAAATAGGATAATTCACAAATTTATGATTTGACTTTTTAATATAATAATCATCAAATGTCAAATTAAAAGTTTCTTCCACTTTGCGAGTTCGCTTATTTAATACTCGATAAGCAACTGAATTGTGTGAATATCCCAAGAAAATCCCTTCATCCGCTTTGGTTTGAAACTTCGAAAGATTATCCTTAAGATTCATTATGAAACATCTGCATCCAAAAACATGTAAAAATTTGACATTAGGTTTTCGATTATTGATGATTTCATAAGGAGTAACATTAAACCGTCGATGAATGAATGATCGATTTTGAGTAAAACATGTTGTTGAAACAACTTCAGCCCAAAGATATTGAGGTAGATTCGAAAAAGCCAACATTGTTCTTGCAGCTTCACATAATGATCTATTTTTTTCTTTCAACTACACCGTTTTGTTGTGGTGTATAAGGAGATGAAAAAGTATGTGAAATTCCTTTTTCCACCAGAAATGTATCGAAGACATGATTTTTGAATTCAGTTCCATGATCACTTTTAATTTTTCGAACTGTTTTTCTCAATGAAACTTCCATCTTTTTGATAAAATCAATCATCACTTGTGGAACTTCGGATTTTAACCTGAGAAAATAAACCCACGTGAATCTTGAAAAATCATCTACGATTACCAAAATGTACCTTTTCTTGTTAAGAGTAGCAACTGTTGAAGGACCACATAAATCTATATGTAGAAGTTCAAGAGGTTCAACAATCTTCGAATCTATTGTGATTGGATGACCTTGTTTATGTTGTTTTCCTACTTTGCAAGTTGCACACAAACTGTCATTATCATATTTAAGAATGGGTAAACCTCTTACCAGATCTTGTGTGACAAGTTTGTTGATGTTTCGAAAATTGAGATGTGATAATCTCCTGTGCCATAACCAGCTAACATTAGCAGCAGCCTTCGAAAGTAAACACACAACAGGTTTGCCTACAATAGGAACAATATCCAATGTAAACATGTCACCTTTTCTTTTTGACTTCAGTAACACTTCCTTAGTTTTGATATTCGAAATAACACTTCCTTCTTCATTAAAAAGAACTTGATTGCCAGTACCCACAATAAGTTGTGAAACACTTATCAAGTTGTGTTGCAAACCTTCAACAAATGCAACTCTGTTGATAGTAAAATTTCCATTTGTGATTTTCCCATAACCCTTGACTTTGCATTTATGATTATTACCAAACTTAACCACTCCTCCATTTTCTAATCTTCGAAAATCACGCAAGTTTTCCTTCTTCCCATTCATGTGACGTGAGCAACCGCTATCAA